TGAGTTTTATTTTATTTTATTTTTGCAGTCAAAGATAATAGTTTCAGTATTTTTTTTGTTTTTCAAATATTTGTAGTTTTTATTTCAGTTTTCGTTTTCGTTTACTATAACAACCTTGACACACACACACACACTCACCTAGATGCACACGCACACACACACACTCTTTCCCTCTGTCTTGCCTCACACAATCCATCTCTCCATATAGTCAAGCCTCACATACTCCCATCAGGATACTGGTCTGGGAGAATTAATGTGATCTATTATGGCTGACAGGGCATTGAATTTCAATTTGTAAGTGCAAGGTGGATTACTTTGAATGCTTGTGTGATTATTATAACACTAGTAATGGATTGGAGCTTTTGTAAATGCTAAAAGCATTTTGCATTTCAAACGGGCGGACTCACCTTATCCAGATGCACCACTACTACTACTATCAATGAGTAGCACTTACTGGAGAAATTAGAAATTCGGATTGATGTGTCACATTACAAAATTATTTGATTTCTAATCCAATATATATGTATGTCTCTGAATAAAATGTAAAGACTTTCAGTCAGTAATGCATTCACAACATGCATTCGTAACAGTATGGAAAGGTAGCGCCATCTGCTGGCCATTTCTGTCATGACATACAATGAGTTGTAATGTGTTTTCCCAATATCCAATACAAAATAATTGGAAAACGCCTGACATTTTATTAAAACAGTCATATGTCAACAATCTTGCTTTGTTTTAAGAATAATGAATGGAAATTAGTAGTGAAATCAACTGTCAGATTTGTCTCCAATGGATATTGATCATAATGAAATACAGTTTTAACACTATAGCTCACTGATATTTAACTTCATACAGTATTGAGATTGACATGCAACATATTGCTGATAGTAGGAGACAGTTCAATCCAGGCAAGCATAAATGTAAATGTACTGTATATATACTGTAATAATTCTCTCTAGCTGAAATGCCCTGAGGGTAGTGGTGCAAACCCAAAGACCAACTACATTGGCTTCATTTGGTATTTATAGCAGTCTGTTAACACAGCTCTCCTTCCCGCTGCACGTGCTAGAGCTAGTATAAAGCAGAGTCAGAATAACAGATATCAAAATAAAAGTCCCACATTACAATCAATAAAGGCCAGTCAAGGCATGTAAAAGCATTTGACACACTATCCCCTAATGCCATACCAGGGGATAGCATAACAGCAATGTTTACAGTACCAGCAGAGCAATCAACCCATCAACCCCACTGGTATTTTATTTGTAACGCGCTTTCTCACAAACCTTTCTCATGGACGTAACAGGGATAGACAAGGGCGCAGTCCTGCTGGTTTTTGGGATCTCCCTTTGTGGCACTTATTGGGTCAATTCATGTCATTGATTGGCTGACGAGTCCCAGGTAGAAAATAGACAATTGGATCTATTTTAAAGGCGAGGACAAAGACCAGGAGACAATATCGCCCTCCAGGATTGGAGCTTCGCACGGCTGTCATAATAACACTTCCACTGGCACACACGAGTCTTTAAAGAAAAAATGTTTTCCTGTCCAGGAACAGGAAGCGAAGAGCTCAGTCCAAGCATGGTTGGGAATAGTGAATGCCATTGACCTCACAACCTGAACCTTAGTGACCCAAGAGGGAGAGAAGGAAAGAGACCTCGGAAAGCGGATGAGCGGAGGTTAGAGATCTTCGCCTGGGTCTGAAATGGCACCCTATTCCCTACTGTATAGTGCACTACTTTTGGCTAGAGCCTAGTAGTCAGCGACTAACGTGACCAGCTGAGCTCAGTCGGTACTGAGTGTCGGAGAAGTCAAGCCACAGCCAATAGGTGACCAACACAAAGAATGAGAAAGAGAGACAAAAGGAGACCGAAGGGGACAGAAGGGGACGGAAGGAGACGAAGGAGTCAAAAGGAGACGAAGAGTCAGAAGAACGAAGGAGTCAGAAGGAGACAGAAGGAGTCAGAAGGATTCAGAAGGAGACAGAAGGAGTCAAAGGAGACAGAAGGAGACCAGAATGAGTCCGAAGGAGAGCAGAAGGAGTCAAGGAGACAGAAGGAGTCAGAAGGAGACAGGAGTCAGAGAGATAAAGAAGGAGACAGAAGAAAGAACGAAAAGAAGGACAGAAGGATCAGAAGGAAAGACGAGAGGGACAGAAGGAGTCAGAAAGGAGACAGAAGGAGTCAGAAGGAGACAGAAGGAGTCAGAAGAGTCAGAACGAGAGAGACAGAAAAGGAGAGAGAGACAGAAGGAGTCAGAAGAGACAAGGAGCAGAAGACAGAAGGAGACAAAGGAGCAGAAGGAGGACAAAGGAGAGAAGAGACAGAAGGAGTCAGAAGAAGAGAAGGAACAGAAGGAGTCAGAAGGAGACAGAAGGAGTCAGAAGGAGACAGAAGGAGTCAGAAGAGACAAAGGATCAGAGAGACAGAAGAGTCAGAAGGAGAAGAGAAGAAGGAGTAAGAGGAGACAGAAGGACAAGAGAAGGGAAAGATCAGAAGAGACAGAAGGAGTCAGAAGGAGTCAGAAGGAGACAGAAGGAGTCAGAAGGAGAGGAGTCAGAAGAGAATCAGAGACAGAAGGAGTCAAAGAACAGGTGAGTCACGAGAGCAGAGAACAGAAGGAGGGTCAGAAAGAGACAGAAGGAGTCAGAAGGAGACAGAGAGACAGAAGGAGTCAGAAGAGAGACAGAAGGAGTCAGAAGGAGACAGAAGGAGTCAGAAGGAGTCAGAAGGAGACAGAAGGAGTCAGAAGGAGTCAGAAGGAGACAGAAGGAGTCAGAAGGAGACAGAAGAGTCAGAAGGAGACAGAAGGAGTCAGGAGGGACAGAAGGAGTCAGAAGGAGACAGAAGGAGTCAGAAGAGCAGAGAGTCAGAAGGAGACAGAAGAGTCAGAAGAGACAGAAGGAGTCAGAAAGAGACAGAATGAGTCAGAAAGAGACAGAAGGAGCAAGAGACAGAAGGAGTCAGAAGGAGACAGAAGGAGTCAGAAGGAGAAGGCAAGGAGACAGAAGAAAGGAGCAGAAGGAGTCAGAAGGAGACAGAAGGAGTCAGAAGGAGACAGAAGGAGACAGAAGGAGTCAGAAGGAGACAGAAGGAGTCCGAAGGAGACAGAAGGAGTCAGAAGGAGACAGAAGGAGTCAGAAGGAGTCAGAAGGAGTCAGAAGGAGACAGAAGGACTCAGAAGGAGTCAGAAAGAGACAGAAGGAGTCAGAAGGAGTCAGAAGGAGACAGAAGGAGTCAGAAGGAGACAGAATGAGTCAGAAGGAGACAGAATGAGTCAGAAGGAGACAGAAGGAGTCAGAAAGAGACAGAAGGAGTCAGAAGGAGACAGGAGACAGAAGGAGTCAGAATGAGACAGAAGGAGTCAGAAGGAGACAGAAGGAGATAGAAGGAGTTAGAAGGAGACAGAAGGAGACAGGAGACAGAAGGAGTCAGAAGGAGACAGAAGGAGTCAGAAGGAGTCAGAAGGAGACAGAAGGAGTCAGAAAGAGACAGAAGGAGTCAGAAGGAGTCAGAAGGAGACAGAAGGAGACAGAAGGAGTCATAAGGAGACAGAAGGAGTCAGAAGGAGACAGAAGGAGCCAGAAGGAGCCAGAAGGAGACAGAAGGAGACAGAAGGAGTCAGAAGGAGTCAGAATGAGTCAGAAGGAGACAGAAGGAGTCAGAAGGAGACATAAGAAGTCAGAAGGAGACAGGAGGCGACAGAAGGAGTCAGAAGGAGATACTTTACCTAAGTTCTGGTTAAAAGAAAGGCTCTATATACAGTAGAGAATATGGTGTCATTTGGGCTTGGACATTCCTTGTACTGCGACATCTGTGTCTTTGACTCCATCCAGGGGGACGGGGTCTCAGACAGACGTCCCAGCGTGTGTGTGGTGGGCCTTGAGAAGGGCTGTGATGTCATCGTGGGACCCCTGCTGCGCTACAGAGAAGGCCGTGCGACCACGCTGGAGGAGGTGGACATGAAAAGAGGGGGGGGGGGGGGGTGGAAGAAAGAAGAGAAGATCAACACTTGAGGTATGCACTTTAAATCATTCTGTGTATGCTAAGGCAGTGTTTCCCAAACCTCTCCTTGACTAACCTCAGCTATTCCACATTGGTATATTCCTGAACTAGCACACCTGATTAAACTACTGAAGGACTTGATGATAAGTTGACTATAATAATAATAATAATATGCCATTTAGCAGACGCTTTTATCCAAAGCGACTTACAGTCATGCGTGCATACATTTTTTTTTTGTGTATGGGTGGTCCCGGGGATCGAACCCACTACCTTGGCGTTACAAGCGCCGTGCTCTACCAGCTGAGCTACAGAGGACCACACTATTTGAATCAGGTGTGCTAGTAGTGAAATACATCAAATAAGTGGAATGAGTGGAGGTACTGCAGGAGGTTTGGCACACACTATGCTAAAGTATGTAACCATGCTAAACAACAGTAATATAAAAAAACGTGAGCGAAAACGGCATAGTGCACATTTAAGAATTGATTCAATGAACACTTTGGCATCGAGGATAGGATGGAGGCAATTCAAGGAAGGAGGCCCTTAACTGAGACAGCTTTGCTCTAATCCTCTACCAGTCTACGGGGAGAATTGGACAGAGGATTTCTCTCTCGTTTTTTCCTCTTTCTCTACAGATTAGCAGATTAGTGATTAGCTTGTCATAGTGCAGTGAGGTTTGCCTCAACAATAGGCTTCATTAATCCACAGAGCTGAGTGCTAGCTCTATTATAGCAAAGCCACGCCGTCACTCTCAGCTCAACGAGTCAAGGGATGCATCCCAAACTGCACCCTATTCCATGTTTAGTCCACTACTTTTGACTAGGGCCCATGGAGAACAAGGTGCTATTTGGGACTCAACCGAGGTATTTGGGCTTTCAAATGCTTCCAATGGCCTAAGCTGCTCTTTCAGCAAAGTCACTAATTCTAGTGAGAAAAGAGGACTGACATCCTGTTAACATTGAGTCTTATAATGGCAATATACTTGACTTGAGATGGTCTTTAATTCCCCCCAAGGGTGTAGTTTGTAGTCTTATTCACTAGGTGGCGTAGGAGCAGGTCGTTAGATGTATTGCCTACTCCTGAAGTCACCATTGGCCTCATGGTGAAACCCCCGAGGCTTTCAGGGGGTGGGGGATTGTGTGTTCTGTAGTGTATCCATCCAACACTCACCCTGTCTGCGACGCTGGTGTCACACTCTGCCCTCTGCAGCAGCAGCCGGGCGATGTGTGTGTGGCCCCTCTCGCAGGCGCACATGAGGGCCGTGGCCCCCTGGCGGTCCTGGACTTTGGTGTCGGCGCCGCGGCGCAGCAGCAGACGCACCATCAGGCCCCGGCCATGTCTCACCGCTAGCATCAGAGCTGTCTGACCCCCCTGGACGGAGAGAGACAGGGATGAGGAGATGCAGAGCTGAAACTGACGGGCCAGAATCCATCTTTAGGCTAGGGGGCTGGACATACAGGACAATATTTTGTTGTGTGTTTGAAATAGAGAGGAAAACTATGCAGGCGCTGCCCATGGGCCAGTTAAGACATGTTATTATGATTTCTGCGCGGAATGATCACCGTGGTAGTCCTCTGTGGCTCAGTTGGTAGAGCGTGGCGCTTGCAACGCCAGGATAGTGGGTTAGATTCCAACAGGGGACCAGTACGAATTGTATGCTCTGCTAAATGACTAAAATGCCTGACACACCATTGGCCCTTGGTGCGGATTCATATAGTTTATAGCTTAGTCTCCTATATCAACATTTAAAATATATTATTATTCTAAACAAGTAATCACTACACAGGTCCAATTTACTGTATATTGATGTTTCATAGCTACACTACATGACCAAAAGTATGTGGACACCCGCTCGTCGAACATCTCATTCCAAAACCATGGGCATTAATATGGAGTTGGTCCCACCTTTGCTGCTATAACAGCCTCCACTCTTCTGGGAAGGCTTTCCACTAGATGTTGGAACATTGCTGCAGGGACGTGCTTCCATTCAGCCACAAGCGCATTAGTGAGGTCGGGAACTGATGTTGGACGATTAGACCTGGCTCGCAGTCGACGTTCCAATTCATCCCAAAGGTGTTCGATGGGGTTGAGGTCAGGGCTCTGTGCAGGCCAGTCAAGATCTTCCACACCGATCTCGACAAGCCATTTCTGTATGGACCTCGCTTTGTGCACGGGGGCATTGTCATGCTGAAACAGGAAAGGGCCTTCCCCCAAACTGTTGCCACAAAGTTGGAAGCACAGAATCATCTAGAATGTAATTGTATGCTGTAACGTTAAGATTTCCCTTCACTGGAACTAAGGGGCCTAGCCCGAACTTTACACCACTCCAGCCGATGCTTGGCATTGCGCATGGTGATCTTAGGCTTGTGTGCGGCTGCTCAGCCATGAGTTGAGGAGAGACTGACTGCAACACTTCTTCTTTTTATAAGAAACATTAATGTGTTGAAAATCCCAAATTGTTTGCATAGTCAACTTACACACAGCTCTGACACAAACACTTACCACACCAGACATGCCACCAGGGGTCTTTTCACAGTCCCCAAATCCAGAACAAATTCAAGAAAGCGTACAGGATTATATAGAGCCATTATTGCATGGAACTCCGTTCCATCTCATATTGCTCAAATGAACAGCAAACCTGATTTCAAAAAGCAGATAAAGCAACACCTCACGGCACAACGCCTCTCCCCTATTTGACCTAGTTTGTGTGTATGTATTGATATGTAGGCTACATTTATTTGTATTTTTTATTGTCCTTGAGCTGTTCTTGTCTATTCATGTTCTGTATTATGTCATGTTTCATATTTTGTGTGGACCCCAGGAAGAGTAGCTGCTGCTTTTGCAACAGCTAATGGGGATCCTAATAAAATAACAAAAATAACAAATACCATGGAAACCCATTTCATGAAGCTCCCGACTAACAGTTATTGTGCTGATGTTGCTTCCAGAGACAGTTTGGAACTCGGCAGTGAGTGTTGCAACCGAGGACAGACAATTTTTATGCGCTTCGGTGGTCCCGTTCTGTGAGGTTGTGTGGCCTACCACTTCACGGCTGAGCCATTGTTGCTCCTAGACGTTTCCACTTCACAATAACAGCACTTACAGTTGACTGGGGCAGCTCTAGCAGGGCAGAAATTTGACGAACTGACTTGTTGGAAAGGTGGCATCCTATGACGGTGCCACATTGAAAGTCACTGAGCTCTTCAGTAAGGCCATTCTACTGCCACTGTTTGTCTATGGAGATTGCATGGCTGTGTGCTTGACTTTATACACCTGTCAGCAACGGGTGTGACTGAAATAGCCAAATCCACTAATTTGAAGGGGTGTCCACATACTTTTGTATATACACTACCGGTCAAACGCCTTAGAACACCTACTCATTCAAGGGTTTTTCTTTATTTTAATATTTTCTACATTGTAGAATAATAGTGAAGACATCAAAACTATGAAATAACACATATGGAATCATGTAGTAACCAAAAAAGTGTTAAACAAATCAAAATATATTTTATATTTGAGATTCTTATAATATATATAATATGCCATTTAGCAGACGCTTTTATCCAAAGCGATTCTTCAAATAGCCACCCTTTGCCTTGATGACAGCTTTGCACACTCTTGGTATTGTCTCAACCAGCTTCACCTGGAATGCTTTTCCAACAGTCTTGAAGGAGTTCCCACATATGCTGAGCACTTGTTGGCTGCTTTTCCTTCACTCTGCGGTCCAACTCATCCCAAACCATCTCAATTTGGTTCAGGTCGGGGGAATGTGGAGGCCAGGTCATCTGATGCAGCACTCCATCACTCTCCTTCTTAGTAAAATAGCCCTAACACAGCCTGGAGGTGTGTTGGGTCATTGTCCTGTTGAAAAACAAATGATAGTCACACTAAGCCCAAACCAGATGGGATGGCGTATCGCTGCAGAATGCTGTTAAGTGTGCCTTGAATTCTAAATAAATAACAGACAGTGTCACCAGCAAAGCACCCCCACACCATAACACCTCCTCCTCCATGCTTTACGGTGGGAAATACACATGCGGAGATCATCCGTTCACCCACACTGCATCTCACAAAGACACAGCGGTTAGAACCAAAAATCTCCAATTTGGACTCCAGACCAAAGGACAAATTTCCACCGGTCTAATGTCCATTGCTCGTGTTTCTTGGCCCAAGCAAGTCTCTTCTTCTTATTGGTGTCCTTTAGTAGTGGTTTCTTTGCAGCAATTCGACCATGAAGGCCTGATTCACACAGTCTCCTCTGAACAGTTGATGTTGAGATGTGTCTGTTACTTGAACTGTGTGAAGCATTTATTTGGGCTGCAATTTCTGAGGCTGGTAACTCTAATGAACTTATCCTCTGCAGCAGAGGTAACTCTGGGTCTTCCATCCCTGTGGCGGTCCTCATGAGAGCCAGTTTCATCATAGCGCATGAGGGTTTTTGAGACTGCACTTGAAGAAACTTCCGTATTGACTGACCTTCATGTCTTAAAGTAATGATGGACTGTCATTTCTCTTTGCTTATTTGAGCTGTTCTTGCCATAATATGGAATTGGTCTTTTACCAAATAGGTCTATCTTCTGTATACCCCCCCAACTGATTGGCTGAAACGCATTAAGAAGGAAAGAAATTCCACAAATTAACTTTTAAGAAGGTACACCTGTTAATTGAAATGCATTCCAGGTGACTACCTCATGAAGCTGCTTAAGAGAATGCCAAGAGTGAGCAAAGCTGTCATCAAGGCAAAGAGTGGCTATTTGAAGAATCTCACATATAAAATATATTTTTGATTTGTTTAACACTTTTTTTGTTACTACATGATTCCATATGTGTTATGTCATAGTTTTGATGTCTTCACTATTATTCTACAATGTAGAAAATAGTAAAAATAAAGAAAAACCCTTGAATGAGTAGGTGTTCTAAAACTTTTGACTGGTAGTGTATAGTGTATGTAACTCTGAAATATCCGCTATGGATTTTGTAGCAATTCTTGTCTATTGCTTTGGAATACTGAGAAGCTTGGTCCTACGGTACAATATGTGCCATATAAGAGTGTTAGGATGAAGTATGAGGCGTGTATTTGGCGTTTACAGAGGCAGTGACAGTGACCTGACCTGGCTGGCTCGAGCGTTGACGTCCCCCAGCTCCATGAGCCTGCCGACCACCTCCATGTCCCCAGAGCCGTCCGGGGCCGTCAGGGAGGCCAGCATCACCGCTGTGTACCCCGCCTTGTTCTGGAGGTCCACATCACACACACCTGCAGAGGAGGGAACACACACACACACACACACACACACACATTTAGAAACCTGTATTGGAATGTTCATGTCAACTTGTGTTTTTGTGGGATTGTTTCAGGAGAGTCTATAGAAGTGGATGAACAGACATGAATACAATGTGGAACCATGTAGATACAATGTGGAACCATGTAGATACACGTGTGGAACCATGTAGATACAGTGTGGAACCATGTAGATTCACGTGTGGAACCATGTAGATACAATGTGGAACCATGTAGATACATGTGTGGAACCATGTAGATACAATGTGGAACCATGTAGATACACATGTGGAACCATGTAGATACATGTGTGGAACCATGTAGATACAATGTGGAACCATGTAGATACACGTGTGGAACCATGTAGATACAATGTGGAACCATGTAGATACAATGTGGAACCATGTAGATACACGTGTGGAACCATGTAGAAACAATGTGGAACCATGTAGATACACTGTGGAACCATGTAGATACAATGTGGAACCATGTAGATGCACTGTGGAACCATGTAGATACACGTGTGGAACCATGTAGATACACGTGTGGAACCATGTAGATACAATGTGGAACCATGTAGATACAATGTGGAACCATGTAGATACAATGTGGAACCATGTAGATACAATGTGGAACCATGTAGATACAATGTGGAACCATGTAGATACAATGTGGAACCATGTAGATAGACTGTGGAACCATGTAGATACAATGTGGAACCATGTAGATAGACTGTGGAACCATGTAGATACAATGTGGAACCATGTAGATGCACTGTGGAACCATGTAGATACAATGTGGAACCATGTAGATACACGTGTGGAACCATGTAGATACAATGTGGAACCATGTAGATACAATGTGGAACCATGTAGATACACATGTGGAACCATGTAGATACATGTGTGGAACCATGTAGATACAATGTGGAACCATGTAGATACAATGTGGAACCATGTAGATACACGTGTGGAACCATGTAGATACAATGTGGAACCATGTAGATACAATGTGGAACCATGTAGATACAATGTGGAACCATGTAGATGCACTGTGGAACCATGTAGATACACTGTGGAACCATGTAGATACAATGTGGAACCATGTAGATATCCCATACAGTGAGTGTTTATGTACACATACTGTCCTACCTTTACCATACTCATAATAGTGGAATAACACACACACACACACACACACACACACACACACACACAGTGGTACCTACCTGTGTCCAGTAGCAGGCTGACAATGGGGTAGTTGGTGTGAGACACGCTGTAGTGCAGCACTGTGTTGCCGTTGTCGTCAGCCATGTTAACTAGGAAGGGGAGGAGCGAGGGCGTGGCCGTCCTCACCTCTCTGAGGTACACAGACACCGTATTGGCCAGGGAGTCCTCCTCAGCCGCCACCCGGAACCAATGCTGGAACAGCACCACCAGGCCCCGCCTCTGGGGAACAGACAGAAGTTAACCGGGGAGTGTTAGTTCGGGGCTAGGACAAAAGCCTGCACACACTGTGGCCCACCTGGACTAGAGTTGCCCAGCCCTGCCATAGACTCCGATCTAAGATCAGTTTCCTGTTTTCCCCCCAAATGGAGGATAAACTGGTCCTAGATCTGTATCTGAGGACTTCTATCCATAACCCTTGGATATTTCAGAGAGAAAATGCATACAGCAGATAGACATGTTAATGATTCTAACAGCAGATAGACATGTTAATGATGCTAACAGCAGATAGACATGTTAATGATGCTAACAGCTGATAGACATGTTAATGATGCTAACAGCAGATAGACATGTTAATGATGTTAGTGACGAGACCTCTGGTGGCATGTCTTGTGGGGTATGCATGGGGTGTCCGAGCTGTGAGCCAAAAGTTCAAACAGACAGCTCGGTGCATTCAACATGTCAATACTTCTCATAAATACAGTGAGGGAAAAACGTATTTGATCCCCTGCTGATTTTGTACGTAGGTTTATTTGAACAGTGAGAGACAGAATAACAACAACAAAAATCCAGAAAAACGCATGTCAAAACTGTTATAGATTGATTTGCATTTTAATGAGGGAAATAAGTATTTGACCCCCTCTCAATCAGAAAGATTTCTGAATCCCAGGTGACTTTTATACAGGTAACGAGCTGAGATTAGGAGCACACTCTTAAAGGGAGTGCTCCTAATCTCAGTTTGTTACCTGTATAAAAGACATCTGTCCACAGAAGCAATCAATCAATCAGATTCCAGTCTCCAGACCTTAATCCCATAGAAAATCTGTGGAGGGAGCTGAAGGTTCGAGTTGCCAAACGTCAGCCTCGAAACCTTAATGACTTGGAGAAGATCTGCAAAGAGGAGTGGGACAAAATCCCTCCTGAGATGTGTGCAAACCTGGTGGCCAACTACAAGAAACGTCTGACCTCTGTGATTGCCAACAAGGGATTTGCCACCAAGTACTAAGTCATGTTTTGCAGAAGGGTCAAATACTTATTTCCCTCATTAAAATGCAAATCAATTATAACTTTTTTGACATGCGTTTTTCTGGATTATTTTGTTGTTATTCTGTCTCTCACTGTTCAAATAAACCTACCATTCAAATTATAGACTGATCATGTCTTTGTCACTGGGCAAATGTACAAAATCAGCAGGGGATCAAATACTTTTTTCCCTCACTGTACAAGTAGTGATGAAGTCAATCTCTCCTCCACTTTGAGCCAGGAGAGATTGACATGCATAGTATTAATATTAGCTCTCTGTGTACATCCAAGGGCCAGCCGTGCTGCCCTGTTCTGAGCCAATTGCAATTTTCCTAAGTCCTTTTTTTGTGGCACCTGACCACACGACTGAACAGTAGTCCAGGTGTGACAAAACTAGGGCCTGTAGGACCTGCCTTGTTGATAGTGCTGTTAAGAAGGTAGAGCAGCGCGTATTATGGACATACTTCTCCCCATCTTAGCTACTGTTGTATCAATATGTTTTGACCATGACAGTTTACAATCCAGGGTTACTCCAAGCAGTTTAGTCACCTCAACGTGCTCAATTTCCACATTATTTATTACAAGATTTAGTTGAGGTTTAGGGTTTAGTGAATGATTTGTCCCAAATACAATGCGTTTAGTTTTAGAAATATTTAGGACTAACTTATTCCTTGCCACCCACTCTGAAACTAACTGCAACTCTTTGTTAAGTGTTGCAGTCATTTCAGTCGCTGTAGTAGCTGACATGTATAGTGTTGAGTCATCCGCATACATAGACACTCTGGCTTTACTCAAAGCCAGTGGCATGTCGTTAGTAAAGATTGAAAAAAGTAATGGGCCTAGACAGCTGCCCTGGGGAATTCCTGATTCTACCTGGATTATGTTGGAGAGGCTTCCATTAAAGAACACCCTCTGTGTTCTGTTAGACAGGTAACTCTGTATCCACAATATAGCAGGTGGAGTAAAGCCATAACACATATGTTTTTCCAGCAGCAGACTATGATCGATAATGTCAAAAGCCGCAATGAAGTCTAAAAAAACAGCCCCACAATCTTTTTATCATCAATTTCTCTCAGCCAATCATCAGTCATTTGTATAAGTGCTGTGCTTGTTGAATGTACTTCCCTATAAGCATGCTGAAAGTTTGTTGTCAATTTGTTTACTGTAAAATAGCATTGTATCTGGTCAAACACAATTTTTTCCAAAAGGTTACTAAGGGTTAGTAACAGGCTGATTGGTCGGCTATTTGAGCCAGTAAAGGGGGCTTTACTATTCTTAGGTAGCGGAATGACTTTTGCTTCCCTCCAAGCCTGGGGGCACACACATTCTAGTAGGCTTCAATTGAAAATATGGCAAATAGGAGTGGCAATATCGTCCGCTATTATCCTCAGTAATTTTCCATCCAAGTTGTCAGACCCCGGTGGCTTGTCATTGTTGATAGACAACAATCATTTTTTCACCTCTTCCACACTCACTTTACGGAATTCAAAATTACAATGCTTGTCTTTCATAATTTGGTCAGATATACTTGGTGGTGTAGTGTCAGCAATTGTTGCTGTCATGTCATGCCTAAATTTGCTAATCTTGCCAATGAACAAATCATTAAAGTAGTTGGAAAAATCAGTTGGTTTTGTGATGAATGAGCCATCTGATTGAATGAATGATGGAGCTGAGTTTGCCTTTTTTCCCAAAACTTCATTTAAGGTGCTCCAAAGTTTTTTACTATCATTCTTTATGTCATTTATCTTTGTTTCATAGTGTAGTTTCTTCTTATTTTTATTCAGTTTAGTCACATGATTTCTGAATGTGCAATACGTTTGCCAATCGATTGTGCAGCCAGACTTATTTGCCATTCCTTTTGCCTCATCCCTCTCAACCATTAATTTCTCAATTCCTCATCAATCTACAGGGATTTAACAGTTGTTACAGTAATTTTCTTAATGGGTGCATGCTTATTAGTAACTGGAATAAGCAATTTCATAAATGTGTCAAGTGCAGTGTCTGTTTGCTCCTCATTACCCACCACGGACCAACATATATTCTTTACATCAACATCATAGGAATCACTACAAAACCTATTGTATGACCTTTTACACACTATATTAGACCCAGCCTTTGGAACTTTGGTTTTCCTAGATATGGCTACTATATTGTGATTACTTCATCCAATGGATTTGGATACTGCTTTCAAACAAATCTCTGCAGCATTAGTAAAGATATGATCAATACATGTTGATGATTTCATTCCTGTACTGTTTGTAACGACCCTGGTATGCTGGGCAGGCCATTCTTTTGGTTACCATGGCTATACCCCCATAGGATGACAAAGACCCCATCCACAGGGCACGAGTAAGCCATATGCCATGGCCGTCTCAGTCACCAGATCTCAACCCAGTTGACCACCATCAACAAATGATGTATTTTCTCATGGAAGAATGGTGTCGCATCCCTCCAATAGAGTTCCAGACACTTGTAGAATCTATGCCAAGGTGCATTGAAACTATTCTGGCTCGTGGTGGCACTTTTAAGGCACTTTATGTTGGTGTTTCCTTGATTTTGGCAGTTACATTTACATTTTAGTCATTTAGCAGACGCTCTTATCCAGAGCGACTAATAGTTAGTGCATACATTTTTTAATATTTTTTTTATACTGCAAGCGCCATGCTCTACCAACTGAGCTACACGGGACTATAGTTACCTGTACATTTTAATGATGCTAATGAAAGTAATGAGGTGTATAACTATGCTTTTCTTCCATTCATTAAATGAAAAATGACACAAATGATTTCATCTTTAAGACACTGTGTTTGGTAGTGCCTGCCTTATCTGTGTTGACAGCCGTTCATAGAGGTGTTGAATAAGGCTTGTGCAATTAGGTTGTGCCTATAGGTCGATGTCTAAGTGTATTTCTGTACCATACGTACCATTCCATCATTGGGGTTATCAATGTTATCCATGTGATCGTTGACGAAATGACATGCTGCTATGAACTCCCCTTCTACAGCCTCTCTATGAGGAAATAGAATCAGTCCCATGAGTTGGACTGTCAACAATATTAATATACTCTCACTAACATCAATACGTTATAATAAATCGTTTTTTTTTATTCTGAAAAAATGTCATGGCACTTTTCAAAATTAGAAAATGAATATGCCAAAATTTAAACTGGCAAATCATCAAATTGTATAATTAATGAATGAAATACGATATACTCAGTTCCCCTCACCTGTCTTGTTTGGGATCTGTGATAGGGTCTGGTTCTGCTTTCATGGTTTCCTCTGGTGTTGTGTCTGTCTTGTTCTGTTCCTTTGGTTCTGCAGCTTCCGCATCCCCACCACTATCTGTCTGTTCGTCTGGTTGTGCAGCTTGAGTAGTCTCGTCCGTCGGATTGGTTCCTTCCATCATCTCTTGGCCTGGGCTTGGGTCTCCCTCTTTCTGGTCTCCATGGTTGGAACCCCTGTGGTCTGCACGTTTCTCTGCCATCTCCCCAGGGTGGAGTTGTCCATCCGGTTGTTGCTGCAGGGCTGACATGTCCTCGTTTGCATGCCTCTTACTGTCCAAATCCTCATTTGGTGTCGTTTCAAAGCTAAACACATATCATTAGGAACCAGTTTGTTTTTGCCATTACACTATTAGAAAAAAAAAAAGGGTTCCAAAAGGGTTCTTCAGCTGTCCGCATATGATAACCCTTTTGGGTTCCATGTAGAACCCGCTGTGGAACCAAAAAGGGTTCTTCAAAGGGTTCTCCTATGTGGACAGCCAAAGAACCCTTTTAGGTTCTAAATGTACAGCCATCCTGCCAATCTAGCCATATAGAGTGCCTTCAGGAAGTATTCACACCCCTTGACTTATTCCACATTTTAGTTGTTACAGACTGAATTCAAAATTGTTTAAATATACAGTGGGGAAAAAAGTATTTAGTCAGCCACCAATTGTGCAAGTTCTCCCACTTAAAAAGATGAGAGAGGCCTGTAATTTCATTCATCATAGGTACACGTCAACAATGACAGACAAAATGAGAGAAAAAATTGCAGAAAATCACATTGTAGGATTTTTTATGAATTTATTTGCAAATTATGGTGGAAAATAAGTATTTGGTCAATAACAAAAGTTTCTCAATACTTTGTTATATACCCTTTGTTGGCAATGACACAGGTCAAACGTTTTCTGTAAGTCTTCACAAGGTTTTCACACACTGTTGCTGGTATTTTTGCCCATTCCTCCATGCAGATCTCCTCTAGAGCAGTGATGTTTTGGGGCTGTCGCTGGGCAACACAGACTTTCAACTCCCTCCAAAGATTTTCTATGGGGTTGAGATCTGGAGACTGGCTAGGCCACTCCAGGACCTTGAAATGCTTCTTACGAAGCCACTCCTTCGTTGCCCGGGCGGTGTGTTTGGGATCATTGTCATGCTGAAAGACCCAGCCACGTTTCATCTTCAATGCCCTTGCTGATAGAAGGAGGTTTTCACTCAAAATATCACGATACATGGCCCCATTCATTCTTTCCTTTACACGGATCAGTCGTCCTGGTCCCTTTGCAGAAAAACAGCCCCAAAGCATGATGTTTCCACCCCCATGCTTCACAGTAGGTATGGTGTTCTTTGGATGCAACTCAGCAGCATTTTGTCCTCCAAACACGACGAGTTGAGTTTTTACCAAAAAGTTCTATTTTGGTTTCATCTGACCATATGACATTCTCCCAATCCTCTTCTGGATCATCCAAATGCACTCTAGCAAACTTCAGACGGGCCTGGACATGTACTGGCTTAAGCAGGGGGACACGTCTGGCACTGCAGGATTTGAGTCCCTGGCGGCGTAGTGTGTTACTGATGGTAGGCTTTGTTACTTTGGTCCCAGCTCTCTGCAGGTCATTCACTAGGTCCCCCCGTGTGGTTCTGGGATTTTTGCTCACCGTTCTTGTGATCATTTTGACCCCACGGGGTGAGACTTGCGTGGAGCCCCAGATCGAGGGAGATTATCAGTGGTCTTGTATGTCTTCCATTTCCTAATAATTGCTCCCACAGTTGATTTCTTCAAACCAAGCTGCTTACCTATTGCTGATTCAGTCTTCCCAGCCTGGTGCAGGTCTACAATTTTGTTTCTGGTGTCCTTTGACAGCTCTTTGGTCTTGGCCATAGTGGAGTTTGGAGTGTGACTGTTTGAGGTTGTGGACAGGTGTCTTTTATACTGATAACAAGTTCAAACAGGTGCCATTAATACAGGTAACGAGTGGAGGACAGAGGAGCCTCTTAAAGAAGAAGTTACAGGTCTGTGAGAGACAGAAATCTTGCTTGTTTGTAGGTGACCAAATACTTATTTTCCACCATAATTTGCAAATAAATTCATTAAAAATCCTACAATGTGATTTTCTGGATTTTTTTTTCTCAATTTGTCTGTCATAGTTGACGTGTACCTATGATGAAAATTACAGGCCTCTCTCATCTTTTTAAGTGGGAGAACTTGCACAATTGGTGGCTGACTAAATACATTTTTTCCCCACTGTATGTTTTTCTCACCCTTCTTTTTCTCACCCATAATGACAAAGTGAAAATATTTTTTTGAAATTTTAGCAAATGTATTGCCATATATTTTCAAGCCGATTTAAGTCAAAACTGTAACTAGGCAACTCGGGAACATTCAATGCCGTCTTCGTAAGCAACTCCAGTGTACACTGAGTGTACAAAACATTACTAACACCTGCTCTTTCCATGACAGACTGACCAGGTGAATGCAGGTGAAGGCTATGATCCCTTATTGATGTCACTTGTTAAATCTACTTCAATCAGTGTAGATGAAGGGTAGGAGACAGGTTAAATAAGGATTTTTAAGCCTTGAGACAATTGAGACATAGAGTTGTGCCATTCAGAGGGTGAATGCGCAAGACAAGATTTAAGTGCCTTTGAACGGGGTATGGTAGTAGGTGCCAGGCACGCCGGTTTGACTGTGTCAAGAACTGCAACGCTGCCTGGTTTTTCATACCCAACAGTTTCCTGTGTGTATCAAGAATGGTCCACTACCCAAAGGACATCCAGCCAGCTTGACACAACTGTGGGAAGCATTGGAGTGAATGTGGGCCAGCATCCCTGTGGAATGCTTTCGACACCTTGTAGAGTCCATGCCCCGATGAATTGAGGCTGTTCTGAGGGCAACTCAATATTAAGAAGGTTTTCCTAATGTTTTGTACACTCAGTGTATATTCGGCCTTATGTTTTAGGTTATTGTCCTGCTGTAAGGTGTATTTGTCTCCCAGTGTCTGTTGGAAAGCAGACTGAACCAGGTTTTCCTCTAAGACGTTGCCTGTGGTTACAGCTGTATTCCATTTCTTTTTATCCTAAAAAAACTCCCTAGTCCTTGCCGATGACAAGCATACCCATAACATGATGCAGCCACCACCATGCTTGAAAATATGAAGAATGGTACTCAGTGATGTGTTGGATTTGCCCCAAACATAAGACTTTGTATTCAGGACATAAAGTTAATTTCTTTGTCACATTTTTTGCAGTTTTACTTTAGTGCCTTATTGCAAACAGGATGCATGTTTTGGAATATTTTTATTCTGTACAGGCTTTCTTCTTTTCACTCTGTCATTTAGGTTAGTATTGTGGAGTAACTACAATGTTGTTGATCCATCCTCAGTTTTCTCCTATCACAGCCATTAAACTCTGTAACTGTTTTAAAGTCACCATTGGCCTCATGGTGAAATCCATGAGTGGTTTCCTTCCTATCCGGCAACTGAGTTAGGTGGACACCTGTATCTTTGTAGTAACTGGGTGTATTGTATATAGCCTCGTTACTGTATATAGCCTCGTTACTGTATATAGCCTCGTTACTGTATATAGCCTCTCTACTGCTGCTCTTTCATTTATAAAAAATAAATAAAAAATCTGTTTTTTACTTAACACTTATTTTTCTTAAAACTGCATTGTTGGTTAAGGGCTTGTAAGTAAGCATTTCATTGTAAGGTCTACACCTGTTGTATTTGGCGCATGTGACAAATACAATTTGATTTGATTTGACTGATACACCATCCAAAGTGTAATTAATAACTTCACCATGCTCAAAGGGATATTCATTGTCTGCTTTTAAATTTTTACCCATCTACCAATAGGTGCCCTTCTTTGTGAGGCATTGGAAAACCTCCCTGGTCTTTGTGGTTGAATCTGTGTTTGAAATTCACTTCTCGACTGGGGGTACAGAGATGAGGTAATCGTTTAAAAAATCATGTTAAACACTATTATTGCACACAGAGTGAGTCCATGCAACTTATTATGTGACTTGTTAAGCACATTTTTACTCCTAAACTTTAGGCTTGCCATATCAAAGGGGTTGAATACTTATTGACTTAAGACATTTAATCTTTTCATTTTGTATTAATTTGTGAACATTTCTAAAAACATAATTCCACTTTGACATTATGGAGTATTGTGTGTAGGCCAGTGACACAAAATCTCAATTTAATCCATTTTAAATTCAGGCTGTAACACAACAAAATGTGAAAAAGTCAAGGGGTGTGAATACTTTCTGAAGGCACTGTACAAGGGGTTTTCATAGCTAAACGCAGACAGTACCAAACTAGTGTTGCCGCACAGTAAAATCTTCAGGGTTAGCCATAAGTTGGTCATAAATTCAGAGGGTGATGCTCAAGTTAGTTATTTGTAAACAACATATACATCAGGAGACTGGTGTCTTACCCTCTGCTCACACCAGCAAAGTGGAGGTTCTTTGACAGCCGAGCACTCCCATTTCTCTTCATGATGGATGTTGGGACTAGGAGAGAAAAAGACATGACTAGGATTGCAAAACTACTGGTAAAAGCTATGGCAATCTATAGGAACGTTGGTAATTTATACTTTAATAACTTTAAACAAATGTATTCATATATAATATTCTTTTTATATATCTGTGCCCATGAGTTTCTAGTGCAGTGGTTCCCAACCAGGGGTAATAAGACCCCTGGGGGTACTTGGCCTATCCACAGGGGGTACTTGAGAAGACTCATGAGACCAGAGGCCTACTGGTAAAATGCACGAGGGCGTACTTCAGGGGTACTCCGGGCAGAGCAAAATTCAGTTGGTGGTACAGTAACCAAAAGAGGTTGGGAACTACTGCTCTAGTGAATAGGCCATTTAATTCAAGAGAAAATTGCCTACTTAATGAAATAAGCATCTAATCAACAATGGCATTATTTGCCATTAACTATGCAACTCTTCCAACTATTTAGTTTTTTCACAACTGCCACCAGTTTGGCACCAGAACATTTAAAACAAAGACATATTGACATAGTAATACAAATACAGTATAAAGGATATTTCATGCTGAAACCCTCATATTAAACACCAATGGTATTCACTAAGTTGATGGTTTATATTTGTATTTGTTATTTTAAAATATTCTTATTTGATTATTTAATATATTTAACATGTGATAAGGCCACACAGAGGGCCAGAGATAATTACAGACACCTGTGATAATCTAAAGTACCCAAAAAGGCCACTAGATAAAATTCCTAAAATAACTTGAAAGTTACCACAATTCTGGTAGTTTACTGGTAAACTTCAGAAGTTTCCAGTAATATACCCTCCCTTTGCAACCCTAGACGAGACGGAATAATGTTTTAAGGCGTAGGAGCTGTTAAATCACACGGTCTCACTTTGAATACAACAACGGCTAAACAAACAACAACAACTAAAGGGTTGGTGAAGCTTGAACCCTTCATAAAAGCTACATAATTGTAAATGCTTTGCATATTATTGTCCTTTCAGGTGGGACCAACCACACAGTACGACATAGACATGGAAATAGACAGTCCTTAAACATACTCCATTATACATGGTTGGTAGCCTAATAGCAATGGGAAGCTTTGATAACTTTCTTTGCTTTAATAAGACACACAAGTCTGGTGAGTTGTGTCCTCAGCAGCTTTGAATTGTCTTTTGCACGAGAACAAAATAATTATGACCAAAGTGCTAGTATAAAGGGAAGTGCTTGTAGGGACTGAGTCATTCCAATATGGCAAAAAGAAAATCCTTCATAAAGTGCCTACAGTAAGAGAGAGTTACAGTCGTCACTACACTTCTATCAGGCATAAAGCCAGGCCAAATATAACCATTCATTTACACTGCATGGTAAAATTGTGGGTCTCGATGTGAGAGAGGCAAGTAAAGTTGTCAAAAAATGGTCTCTTTGACATGGTAATAAAATTTGTGTGCAGGGAATTCCCGTAAATGACTCGCAAATCTGACCTAATCGTTCATGCTAGATGGAGAAATAGCTCAAAGCTGTGAGTTAAATGTGCTGACGTGACGTGAATGGGGTTTAAAAAACATTGGGACTTTACACTTTGAAATTCAAATGAGTTCGAAAATGTCTACCTTATAAAAGACAAAAGAGCTCTGTGCTATAAAATTAGCATTGGAATTCAATTAGCTTTATAAGGAACCTGAGAAGATAATTCCTTTTTCCAAATAACTTCTCTTTTTATATTTAATTGAAAATATTTAGCGTCAGTGTAGACTGTCAATTATTGGCCAGGTTCCCAGTCCTAGATCAAGACTTCTCCTGGACTAGAAAGCACTTTCAATTGAGATTCTGCTTTTTAGTCTAGCAATGGGCTTAATCTGTGTTCTGGAAATCAACCCAAAGATCTGTGAAAATAAACTATACCTCCTTGAGAAACCTCTCCGTCACTGGATCCATGGTTGTAGTAGGAGGAAAGAGTATGAACCAGACTCATCATCTCCTCCTGTAGCGAATTGACCTTGGGGTCTGGGTGCTCCAGGGCCTTGCCCCCCTCTGTTGCTGTCCCCCCACACAGACACTCCCACTGCTGTTCCAGGAGACCCTGGATCCTCCTTATGTGGAGGGCTGCCACAGCTTGATCCATGCTCCCTGGGGGGGCTTCCTCCTGAGGCATGTGCTCCATGGGTACTGCCAGGCCTGGTTCTCTGACAGAGCAATGGACCACCGTTTCTGAACTGTGTTGACCAGCTCCAAGACGGATCGCTTGGGCCTCCATCATGAAAGAGCTAGCTGAAACCCAAACTTGATGATCTTCTAGGCCCTCAATCTGAGCGCCAGAGTTTTGTCTATTTGTTCTAATGGTCACTGTATTTGTCGACAAAGCTTCTCCTACATTCAAACTTTCTCGAATGGACGTACCATGCGCACCTGCTAAGGCCCACCTAGAAGTATTCTCAGTCTGTTCTTCATCTTGGTCCACAGGGACTCTATCTGCTCTCACCCAGTCCCCAGTGTTCCTTGTCAGCTGGCACTTCCTCTCATCCTTCCTCCGGTCCTCCTTCTGCTGTTCTCTCAATAGCACGGTGGTCTTCTGGAGGTCCAGGCTGCTCTCATGAAGCCTCTGCTCCAGCATGGCCACTTTGGCCTGCAGGGACGTCACTGTGAGAAGCTCATCCAGGTCTGTGCTTGTCCTCCATTCATGTGTCTGGTTAGAGTCATCATCAGTGACATCGTCTTTGGTGGGGAAGAGATGACTCTCTTTCCTGGGTCTTTTGAGGTCAGAGGTCACGTAAGAGTGGTCTTTAACCCTGTTGGCGAAGGTTCGGGACCCGGGTTTGGGGTTCAGTCCAAGACGGAGCATCTCCCTCTCCTCCTGCAGGATGCAGATCTGTGCCTTGAGCTCTGGGATGACCCGGACCTCCTCCTCCAGTTCGCCCATGCGCGCCAGGGCTTCATTTAGGCGGCGGAGGGTTCCAGAAAAGTCCTGGTCGGACGGACAGTCGGACGAGCGGTCCAGGGAGTAGAAGATGTCTTCCGTGGACGTGTCCCTTCCTCCAAGACGGTCTCTGGAGCTTCGGAGACTGACTGGGTCTTCAGTTGAACTTTTCCTCAGCAGAACGGTGAGAGGCAGGTTGGAGGCCCGCAGGAGATTGGGCCTGATGTGCTCCCCCAAGGGCTGCTCATCAAAGGCCCGGATACTGGCTTCCATCTCTGCCACAGACTTGTACCCTCCAGGGGAGGCTGGCGATCTGCCGTCATAAGCCCAAGAGCCATAGCCTTGGTGGGGGTCGGCGAGGCGAGACTTGGGGGCCAGAGCTCCAGTGGAGCCCAAGGGGCTAGGCTGGTAACCATGCCCAGAGAGCTTGAGGTGCCTGGGGAGAGTGCTGGGCCTCTGCCCACTGCTCCGGCGCAGGATGGGGACCCTCTTTATGGTGTGGCCCTTCTCGATGTCGTCCACGTACTTGAGGAAGTCCAGGTCCAGGTGGAAGCCATAGGGCGTTTCCACAGAGTACGGAGGCTTCCCCTTCACCCCGTTCTCTGGGGCTTTGGGCCCATTTCCTAAAAAAGGATTGCAGTGTTGCAATACTTGTTATCATAGCATTGATAGATAATAAGCACTGTAGTGTGTGGAGCGTAAATGTGTTTAGGAATTATCTAACATACAGTTTTAGTTTCATATAACCAACTATCAAAAAGGTAGCCAATTTTCATTTATACATTTCATATATTTTTAAGGCTGTTACCATTTTGTTTGTCCATCATTGTCAGGCTTCAGCTGTGAGCATTGTTTTTTAGCACATTGTATGTTTGTTGGTAGTCTGAGTGCCAGTCTGTTGGAAGTCTGAGTGCCAGTTGGTTTCTGCTCTCCTGCCAACTTCTACGGGCGTTGTGACTCTTTTCTCGTGATGGAAAGCAGGTTGACTGCCTGGCAAGAGAGAGCAAACGGGACAGAGGAGGAGGTGAGAACATTTGTAGATTATTGTTGTTAATGTCTCTGTTGTGTGTTCTAATGTCTCTGTTGTGTGTTCTAATGTCTCTGTTGTGTGTTCTAATGTCTCTGTTGTGTGTTCTAATGTCTCTGTTGTGTGGCAAGTCCGCCCCTGATTATAGCCCTTCAGTCCAAATACAGATCTCAAAATAACTCCCAGACTGTTGAGACCAATAGTCAGGGAACCCAATACACTCCTACATATAAAAATGTCTCTCCTACTCTATATTGGCCTCCCACCTTTCTCCCAGTGATTTCTCTCTGTTTCTCTTCCTCAATATATTTCTCTCCTCTTAATTTCTCGCCTGTCTTCTCTCCTTTCACTCTCTTTACTTATTCTACATTGTACCCTCTTGTCCTCCCGCCATCTTGTCTACTTTGTCTCTATCCTGACCACCCATATCTATCCATCTCACTCTTCTCTTTCTCCCCTCTTCCCAAGCTTCTTCCCTCCCTCCCTCCTCCCTCGCTGTCTGTCCTTCCCGTCTCCCCCTCTATAACCCTAAGCCCCCCCTCTCTCTCCTGACCACTCAGTGGGTGGGTGCTAGACTCTCTGGCCTCTTGAGGGACCACTGTGACAGCCACATGCAGCCACAGACCCAAACAATGTCAGCTATGCAGTAAACAGAGAAATACCACTGACTGAACAGTCCCGTTGTGAATGACGCCCGACACACACACGATAAGCACAATAACAGACGTGTACACACACACACACTCTCCATACATACAGAACATACTGTGCATACATTCACAAAGATCACTCACACACATGTGCATACTACTGTAAATAAAATAAGATATGCTGGACAGTTTTATCTCCATCTCTTCATTCAAAGACTCATTCATAGACACTCTTAATGACAGTTGTGGCTGCTTCGCGTGATGTATTGTTGTCTCTACCTTCTTGCCCTTTGTGCTGTTGTCTGTGCCCAATAATGTTTGTACCATGTCTTGTGCTGCTACCATGTTGTGTTGCCATGCTATGTTGTTGTCTTAGGTTTCTCTTTATATAATATAATATAATATTCCATTTAGCAGACGCTTTTATCCAAAGCGACTTACAGTCATGCGTGCATACATTTTTGTGTATGGGTGGTCTCGAACCCATTACCCTGGCGTTACAAGCGCCGTGCTCTACCGGCTGAGCTACAGAGGACCACGTAGTGGTGTGTCTCTTGTTGTGATGTGTGTTTTGTCCTATATTTTTATTTTTAATCCCAGCCCCGTCCCTGCAGGAGGCCTTTTTGCCTTTTGGTAGGCCGTCATTGTAAATAAGAATTTGTTCTTAACTGACTTGCCTAGTTAAATAAAGGTTAAATAAATAAAATAAATAAATATACTGTGTCAATGGTATGTATTGACATATCATTTCTGTGACCCACAACAATCCACACGCCACCTGTGACTTATTCCTTATTCCCCTAGCTACGCACATCATCGCTGACACCAATCGCCCCCGGTATAAACAAACAATACTAATCACAGGACGAAGGTAGATGGCGACATAGAGAGACGATAGAGAGACATTGTGGTGCCAGGCCTTTTCACTGAGATGAAAGTAGTCTTTCAACACCTGACTCAGCTAAGCTTAGCGCTGAGATTTAGTCTGAAGACCTGGGGCTGTGACAGCAGAGGGTACAGCACAGGGCACGCGTCTTCATGTTCATAGGTGACTGTTGACAGAGTACTGTAGTATCGTCAATGGGGGGAAACAAACAGAGATATCTTAGGAAGGAAAGAGAGGAAGCCCCTGTCATGACTCTCCCTGAAAGGAATGTCCTTTGTTTCAGAGACTTTTGCCGCCCAAAAACTTAAACATCCAACAATGAACATTGGGACAATATATTTCAACATCCAAACGTTGGGAATGATGAGAAATGGAATATAGAAAAATTAATGTATATTTTGTATAAAGGTGTTATAAGGAAAACATTGTGACTTGAAGAGCTTTTACACTGTGGATATCAGGTATACATCCTTTACCTTGGGTAGAAAATATCAAGGAGGAAGACAATGTTTTCGTGAAGATAGGAATGTGATTTTAGCTTTCTAACAAAATCATAGTCATAATAATACTTTTGCCTCGTAACTAGCCACGCCCGAGGGAGCTCAGAGAGCGTGTCAGTATGACGGAAACGCCCCTCTTTACCAGAATACAAGACTGAGATAAGAATGATCAGATCAGACTAGACGGACCTCAAGCTGCAGCTGTTGTCCATATTGGTCCCGACCCTGAAAATCAACACGAGGTGAAGACGACAAAGTTGCCTCCACTAACAAGCAATGGTACGGCTGTGTAGCTGTTCTAAGTAGTGTATCTAAGAAGGTGAATTTAAGTGGGACCACCCTGTTACTCTCTTCAAACCATCGTCTACTACACTGCTCTCATCACCCCACTGGGGATCATCAACACGGCTGATTAGCCGTCCTCAGAAGACCACTTCCAGAACGAGTGAAAGTAAACAGACGACTAAGAAGAAGGACATTGTGACCTCTAGTGGACAATCTGAGCATTATATCTGAACCTTACTTCTAAAAGGCCATCCGAAAAGAGAAGGCCCAATCGACCCTTCTCACGAAGGCCTGTGTCCAACAGAGACGACGAAATCAAACAAGTAAATACATGCATTACTTCTTGCCAAACGGGCGTCAGTTCTGGAAAAGTATTAGGATGACTATGAGCTTAGGTTCATGTGTATCCAAGTGTTTCTCTCTCCCTCTCTTTAACTCGCCATCTTTTGTAACAAGTGTCATATTGTGTTAGTCCGCTAGGGACCCGTTTTCATTGTATTACGTTTCTAATCCCTACCTATACTGTGTATGTGTTTGTATCTTGTGTTATCATTTTTAATTAGTTAGTAAATAAATAATTAAATCAATTTGTGTGGTACAGAATGATCAGTAAGACCCAGGTTCGTGCAGACTTAAAGAGCCTACTGTCACGTTCGTTGAATGATGGGACAGACCAAGGCGCAGCGTGATATGCGTACATGCTTATTTTCTAAATAAACACACGACAAAACAAGAAACGAAACGTGAAGTCCAAGGTAGACGACACAACATACCTTAACAAGATCCCACAACCCACTAGTGCCAATAGGCTGCATAAGTATGGTCCCGAATCAGAGACAACGAACGACAGCTGCCTCTGATTGGGAATTACACCGGCCAACATAGAACCATACATACTAGATCGACAAACAATGACCAAACACAACAAGGAATATACACACCCTGACTCAACATATAAGCGTCCCCTGAGTCAGGGCGTGACACCTACGTATTTCAGAATGAGACTGATATGAGGTAAATGATAACTTAATAAATTACTGTTAAATTATAAGAGATATCTAGATATCTTTAGAGTTAATTCGGGAAACGGTAACTTGTTAAACAACGTTTCCCGTGGTGCCCCAAATTCCTAATGAGTTAATTGTTACATGATTAATTTAATCTAGTAACAATTAAACATAGTCGATAATAGTCATCGCAATAATGAAAGGCACGTCACGACACCCATTTGCTTGTGGGAAATGTCAATCAAAACAAACTGTTTTAGGAGTTAGTGAAGAGAGAAAGGGCGGGGTGTTAACAACGCTCTGTTACCTCTGTGATACTAAACTGTATGCACACGTCTAACTTTTCTGTGGTGTAATTAAGCGATAATGCCCGAGATAGCTACATAAATAACTTTAATTGTGTGGTGTATTCATGGGTTGCACGTTTCGTCACAATATTGTTTTGAACATTTGTTTTGGACTGATGACCGACTGAGCATTCTACTCAATGCATTGCCAATGAGCACATTTCTAATTTTGTCATAAAGTCGTTTTCATTTCAAGTTAGTGTACTGTCAGCTAGCTAGCTAACGTTAGCTGGCTGGCTCGCTAGCTAACGTTATGTGTAGGATCTGTGTAGTAATATTATTCGTATCTCAGAGCCATTTGCTTTGCTAGTTATAACCTAATGTTAGCTAGCTAACATTGAACCTGGTTGGTTAGCTAGCTGCAGATTCATGCAGGGTAGTAACATCATGAGTTGGGATTATGGTTAATTGTTTAGCCAGCTAGCTAGCTACGTGTCTTAATAAAAGACTACACTATGCAAGTAACCATTTCAATAGAATGTTAATGATGTCACTGCGACAACTGTTGATAGACGTAGCTGGTAAATTCGCTCTGGCTATCTACTCCAATTTCAGAGTACTCTCGTCTGAGTGTGCCAGAGCACAGAATAACTGACAAATTTACGAACGCTCAACACCCGTTGAATATGGCCGGTGTTAGTAAACTTTTACAAAAAAGCGTAAATTGTTGCCAGCAGCACAGTTGCAGTCACCAACACTCTGGATAACATAAAAACAGCCTTATCCAGCTCTGCTAGGGTGAGTAAAATAGTCTGGAAGTAGCTATCAAGTTAGCCAACCTTAGCCAGTTAGCTTGGGTGCTTGACTGCTGTTGTTAGGACAGAACGCTCTGATCAACCCTTAAAGAGATGGGTGGGCCTAAAACTTAAGAGGGTGTGAACGATGCTGAATGGGTATAGACAAAGAAGAGCTCTCCAGTAGGTGCACCAAAACATTCAAAGGCCATTTTCTCAAAAGTGAGGTTACAAGTTTATCAACTTTCAAAGCAGAATTACTTTCCCATTGTTCCTCAACTGTAGTGTATGATATACCATTTTCTAGCTCTGAGTCTCTACTTTTATCCAATGTAAAAAAACACAATTTTAAATTTGGCTACATAAGACCGAATCGAGCCGGTCGGTCACAAATCATCTACTTTGGTTTAGATACAAGCATCATGAAACCTCTAACAAAATAATTCATTAGACTTGGTGAAAATTAGTTTTTTGGACCTAACTTGCTTACCACTTTTTCCATGTGGTTTCTTCCTTCACAGACTCCATGAAATGATTACCCCTTCCTAAATAGTTGGTCAAATTATTAATTTCCCCTAGAAACTTACCCCTTTGGCTCAACTCTCTCCCCTACTGCACAACAATAAACTGTCCTCTGGTGTGGATGCTCGCCAACGTGTATAGTTACAGTATGTATCATTTATTGTTATAGTTATAGTCCTTGGTGTGGATGGCCCTTAAAGCCTTTTCCCCAGTTTAAAGGTCTTAGAAGAAGGAAGTCTCAATATTTTTTGACTGACATTTTGGGGTCAATATGAGGGCTTTGTTTCCCTTCCTGTCCCCACCACTGCTCTGTCCTGGGTATAAATGCATCGGTTTCTCCTCACGTGGCCTCCTCACGTCGTTACAAACCTTGGAATCCAAACATCTCCAACCACAGCATTCTTGACTAAAAACCGCAAATTAAATTTGAACTCATGGCACTGTTAAAACGGTCGCCTCCCTAAGATGATATGTTCTAAAACACTAAGGCCACCATTTTTAGTTGCTGGTTTTAGATACGTAATGGGGACACGTACACATTGTTTAGATTTTTTTGTTCCTAGAACACCTTCATCTATTTGTGCTAACACCTATCTATGTATTTGACAATGACCATTGTTGGCAAGCACAAACAGGCCTGGGACCAGGCTACCTTGAAGTTGCTACATACGTTGCTACACTAAAAACAAAGGGTTGGGAATTGGGCTCTCAAATAAGCTTTGTGAAGAATGTTGTAGAAGACATAAAGCTGTCATCAACATAAGAGTCCAGAAGATTCCTTGTTTCTCAGCTGTTCCTGGACTGATTCCTCTGATAAGATCAGATGTTTCTGTCTCTCCCTTTCGTTAAAGCGGCAATCAGCAGTTGAAACAATAACAAAGCGAACGCCCCCACCACTGGTTCGCAAAAAACCTGAGCGACGGGATTGGAGAAATGGAACCACTCTCAAATTCATAGACAGAGCTATGGATGCAAGGACTGACCATCCATGATATCAAAATTATAGTTTTAACCATGTTTTGAGGCTATACAGTGTTTGTTTACATTTACATTGTTTACAAACATTGGAAGTAAACGAAGTTTATATTTTGGGCTCTGATGAGGTACGACAGTTGAACTAAAGCTCATGAGGCATTTACATGTTATATTCTTCAAGAATCAATGGGTACATAGTCCAAAAATGGATGTAGCTACTGCAGATTGTCCCTTTAACTGTGGTGGTGGTGTGTATGCATTTTATTTGTGATTCACGCTCACAAACCTAAAGTGCTACTTACAACGTGCCGTGGACTCGAATGAATGGTTCCATTAACAAAGCAATCAATCACACTTCTTTAAGTTCATTGTTTTCTCGTCACTCATGGCACCCTAGTGGTTAGAACAAAAGGTCACATTTGTTGATTTTGTTCTGCCACAGTCAGTGTACAAGGGTGTGGTGTCCCAAATGCCACCCCCTTCCCCATTTGTTGCACTATTTTTGACCTATGGGCTCTGGTCAAAAGTATCGCACTATATAGGGAATAGGGTGCCATTTGGGACGTACTGTAAAACTGGAGAGCGCAGTGACTTTCTCCTCTCTGTTCTGTTCTCAGGAAAAGGGATATTTTCTTCCTCCAGTTTGGCCATGCTGACTGTGTGGTTTTTCCAGCACATAACTCTATTCCTTGTCTTCTGTTTGGAGTTGGTTTAGAAACTCAAGCCAACTTCTTGGACTCCAACTCCCCCTACCCAACCACTGTCTTTCTCTTCTCCCAACTTCCTCTATCTGTCACTCTCTCACACACACACTCATTCTCTCTCTCAATCCAGTTTGACTACCTGTGGTTCTGTAGTGTTCTCTGTGTTCTAATGTCTCTGTTCTTTGTTCTAATGTCTCTGTTCTGTGTGTTCTAATGCCTCTGTTCTGTGTGTTCCAATGCCTCTGTTCTGTGTGTTCCAATGCCTCTGTTCTGTGTGTTCTAATGTCTCTGTTCTGTGTGTTCTAATGCCTCTGTTCTGTGTGTTCTAATGCATCTGTTCTGTGTGTTCTAATGCGTCTGTTCTGTGTGTTCCAATGCCTCTGTTCTGTGTGTTCTAATGTCTCTGTTCTGTGTGTTCTAATGCCTCTGTTCTGTGTGTTCTAATGCGTCTGTTCTGTGTGTTCTAATGCGTCTGTTCTGTGTGTTCTAATGCATCTGTTCTTTGTGTTCTAATGTCTCTGTTCTGTGTGTTCTAATGCGTCTGTTCTGTGTGTTCTAATGCCTCTGTTCTGTGTGTTCTAATGTCTCTGTTCTGTGTGTTCTAATGCGTCTGTTCTGTGTGTTCTAATGTCTCTGTTCTGTGTGTTCTAATGCCTTTGTTCTGTGTGTTCTAATGTCTCTGTTCTGTGTGTTCTAATGCGTCTGTTCTGTGTGTTCTAATGTCTCTGTTCTGTGTGTTCTAATGTCTCTGTTCTCTGTGTTCTAGAGAATTTTGACCATTTGGATCATTCTGCTATCTCTTCAACCTTTTGAGGCCTTTGACATGGACTCTGGCTGTTCATGCCCTCTGTTCCTGTATGAGGATGATGCTGCCCTCTTGGTTTCACATTAGAATGAGGAGACTGTTGAAAAGACCCTAAGCAGCCAACTGACTAAAGTCAGTAAGTGGTTATCCAACAACAAACTGTCTCTGCATTTAGGCAAGACAGAATGTATCCTATTTGGTTACAAACACAAAGTTAGAAACTCTTCCAACTTCTCAGTCAAGTGTAATGGAGTAGTGGTGAAGGAGAAATGCTCGGGTGAACTCATGGCTCTGAATGTCATTGGGAAGGTTCATTGCAGTTCCTGCCAAGAGTAGGCAAGTTCCTGGATACAGAGACTATGAGGACCCTGGTAACATCTCTGATACAGTGCCACTATGATTATGCATGGTTCAGTGGCATAACCAAAACTCTGAAGGACAAACTTAAAACAGCCCAAAACAAACTAATGAGAATAATATTTAAGCTCAGCCCTAGGATGCACATTGATCCTAATCATTTCAGGGAACTGAAAATGCTTCCAGTTGATCTACGGGTGGTGCAGATCAAACTGTTGATGGTTTTAAAAGTTATACATAACCTTTCCCCAAGTTACTTGGGGGAAGCAGGTAGCTTAGTGGTTGTGCCAGTAACCGAAAGGTCGCTGGTTCTAATCCCTGAGCCGACTAGGTGAAAAATCTGTCGATGTGCCCTTGAGCAAGGCACTTAACCCTAATTGCTCCTGTAAGTCACTCTGGATAAGAGCGTCGGCTAAAATGTAATTTTTTTTATTTTAATTTAATTAGAGTCTCTCATCGACCATCACACCAGAGCCAGTGTTGCCAATAGAAGATCGCTGCGCTATATAAGCATGGCTGTAAAAAGCTATTTCCTTAACACTAGTGCAGAGTAATGGAATTGTGTACCAAACCATATAAAATCCGTACCATCCATACCAAACCATATGAAATCCATAAAATCCATACCTTAAGAAATGGTTTATGGGCAAAATGCTTTAAAACTGCACAGGCTAAAGAAAGTATAATTGCTTCAATGAACTTACTGTAACTTGGTCATCTATTTTATTTCTTCTACTGTTTCCTCCCTATTGATGAAATGTATTTGAGATGTATTTTGTTTTCATGTTATAATCTTGTGTATATTTTGTTTTCATTATATAATCTTGTGTATATTTCCACAATGGAAATATATTTTTATTTTTACCTTTTCGTGTCAGCGTCAATGATTTGAATGGCATTGCTCTGTATCCACGTGTGGTTGTATTGTGTTTAAATGGTCAAATAAATCAAATCAAATCAACAACAACAAAACAGCAACAGGGTCTCAATCTCATCTCCGTGCGCAGCAGGACATAGTGCCAAAGCCAATAGGATGAAACAGCTGCCAGTGAGGCTTTCACGTAAGGAAGAAAAACAGCATGGTATTTTAAATGGTCAGGCTAAAATAGTGAGTGTGTGAGTGAGTGAGTGAGTGAGTGAGTGAGTGAGTGAGTGAGTGAGTGAGTGAGTGAGTGAGTGAGTGAGTGAGTGAGTGAGTGAGTGTGGGAGGTGTAATAAATGTGTGATAGACAACTGATCTCTAAAAGTCGACTGTCTGTCAGATGGTCAGATGTCTATCAGATGGTCAGACGTCTATCAGATGGTCAGATGTCTATCAGATGGTCAGATGTCTATCAGATGGTCAGACGTCTATCAGATGGTCAGACGTCTATCAGATGGTCAGATGTCTATCAGATGGTCAGACGTCTATCAGATGGTCAGACGTCTATCAGATGGTCAGACGTCTATCAGATGGTCAGACGTCTATCAGATGGTCAGACGTCTATCAGATGGTCAGACGTCTATCAGATGGTCAGACGTCTATCAGATGGTCAGACGTCTATCAGATGGTCAGACGTCTAACTGTAAATGCTCCAAGTCCTACCTGTTTACCTGATTAGCTCGGACTACTGAATATCCCTTCGCTATCTACTTCTTATTTCAACTCTAAGTTTAAAATGACCAATGTTTAATTCAAGACAATTAAGGACAACATACATATATTCAGAAACATACAACTATTATCCACCCTGTCAATTATTATAGTACAATCAACCAGCAGAGAAATGGAAGAAACAGCCATGTCTAACTTTCCCTTACCTTTAACAACTCTGCCCCGGCTTGTTCTGAGTTTTCTGCTGTAACCTGATGTGAGTGTGTCAGAGGATCCACTCCAGTCTGAGTTCCAGTACTTCTCCAGTGACTTCTCTCTCTCAGCCCAGCCCTGCTTGTCCGTCAGTCTGTCTCCTAGAGGGACGTACCATCTGGGAGAATGGGATGCCGGAGCTGCTTGGCAAATTTAGAATCCTTTCATAGCACAGGCCGTGCTGTTGTTGTGCGTAAAGAGCAGAGCGGGGAGGGGTTTCAGAGCATGCCTTTCTCCCTCTGTCCAATTAGACTGCGGGTGAGGGCCCACACTGAACAGCCACACCCACGTTATTAGATATCGACCCAATAGGAGCTGGCAGGTGGGGTCCCTCACTCAAAGCAGTGGACAGCAGCTCACCCGAGACCCTGGCTGCTGTTAGTGAGTTTTCAAAATAAACTCCCATAGGTAGCCAGTGAAGGTAATGTGTAGGGTGTTTAACAGTGGCTGTGTGGGGTGTTTCCTACACACACACACACTTCTTTTTTAACTCACCTAATGGCACCTCAATCTACTCAGGCCAAGAGAAATATAGTCCTCCCAGCAATAGAAGAAAACTGTTACCCTGAAAAAACGAATTACCATCTTATAACAGAAATACTGTTCTTAAACGAGTTTACATTTAAATTTTTTACATTTTAGTCATTTAGCAGACGCTCTTATCCAGAGCTTTTTTTTTTTGCAGTCTGTGCGCAAACTAACGACACACCTTTATTGACTTACTCAAAACAATATTCTGCTGAATTTCATTACACAGAAAGAGATGCCCACGGAGCTGTAACCATGGCATTTCACTTTCACCATGTTTGTAACACAGATGGAAAAGGAATTAGCAAAGAAAGGCTCCTTTTCCATTTTCACACGCAGACCTCTGACACCGAAAGGGATTGTGGTTTAACTCTGAGTGCAAAAAAAAGCACTGGACCGAAGCACTGCTGACTGACCACATACTGCAGTGTCCACAACAGAAAACTCTGAGCTGCCATAGCTGGTCTGCAGAGACAGACTGGCCATTGGGCAGTTCGGGCAAATGCCAGATGGGCTGGTCCATTTTAGCCCAGTGGGCCGGTCTAAATTACAGTTTTGTGCAAAATTATCATTATGTGGCTAATAATGGGAGCCTCAAGGAGAAAAATGGGCCGGTGTGTTAAAAATACCCGGACCGATTTCTGGTCCCAGTCAACCCCTGCTGGTCTGGGCAGCTACAGTATAAAGGGAAGCGTTACCGTTACTTTACTGTGGTAAAATAAGGTCTAAGAGCAAGGAAAGGCATACCTGGTATGGCAACTGCTCAGCATCCGACTGTAAGGCGCTACAGAAGGTAGTGCATACGGCCAAGTACATCACTGGGGCCAAGCTTCCTGCCATCCAGGACCTCTATACCAGGCGGAAGGCTCCAAAAATTGTCAGACTCCAGTCACCCAAGTCATAGACTGTTCTCTCTGCTACCGCACGCCAAGCGGTACCGGAGCGCCAAGTCTAGGTCCAAAAGGCTCCTTAACAGCTTCTACCCCCAAGCCATAAGACTGCTGAACAATTAATCAAAAGGCCACCAGGACTATTTACATTGACCCTTTTGTTTTTACACTGCTGCTGCTAGCTGTTTATTATCTATGTATAGTCACTTTACCCCTACCTACATATACAAATTACCTTGACTAACCTGTACCCCCGAACATTGACTCGGTACCGGTACCCCCTGTATATAGCCTCGTTACTGTTATTTTATTGTTTTACTTTAGTTTATTTAGTAAATATTTTGAACTGCATTGTTGGTTAAGGGCTCGTGTGACAAATAAAGTTTGATTTGATTAGATTTTTGATTGAAAGTGCGTATGTAGGTAAGTTGAAGATCTTTTGATTTGTACCAAGACAGCAAATCATGTAGATGTTTGTTTTTACCTTTATAAATCCTTGTTCTATGTCTTTGGGACATGCACTGAATGTTGGGCGACAAGTAGCCTAGCGGTTAGAGCATTGGGCCAGTTACCGACAGGACACTGGTTCAAATACTCAAGTGGACACGATTTAAAAAATATATATATCTGTAGATGTTCCCCTGAGCAAGGCACTTAACCCTAATTTGTTCCAAGGTTGTCATACTACTATGGCTGACCCTGTAAAACAATACATTTCACTGTGACAATATAAAACATAATCTAAAATCTGTTCCATCTCAACTTTCCCCAATGCCTATATTGTTCATTTGTCAATAAAGCCCTCTAGTGGTGAAAGGTGATCATCACATAAAGGTTTAGGTTTAGGAGATCTCCAATTGGTGCTTTTATTAGGTGCACATTTGATATTGGTGACAGTACCTATAGCTTTCCGATATAATGCTGTATAACGTGTTTTAAGCATGTATGAGGCTTTAAGTTGAAGTCTTACTGTGATATGTTGTTGTAACTTTCCAAACCCGGGAGAGTTTGTTACATTTACTCAGTATCAGTAGTGTTGTGCAATGTGCAAAACTGAAAATATGTTAAATCTAAGTAGGAAATATGTTAATCTAAGTATGACTGAATTGAAGTGATACACAATCCATAGGAATGTGCCATTGCGGTTTACAGTCATGGCAGACTCCTAATTTGATGTGCATTATGTAACTCAATGCTACTGTAGGTCAGTGTGGTTATTGGTTACTATTGACAGTGTTGGTATAGTCCTCTATGATGCGGAGGCCTCCCCTTGATCGAGAGTTCACAGACCTCAAACTCAGCTGGCCTCTTTCAGCAAGAAGGACCAATCACAACTTCACTGACTAGAATCCACACCCACAGAAGGATTACCTGTAGATACAGTATGTGTTGCGCTATTCAAACAGTTACTATAGTGACGATTCTACTTTACTGCAAAAGTTCATGCAGTTTAGTCAGTACTGTTATTGAGCAATTTCATATGAAGTCCTGTACCTGTGAATATACTGTATGTCATGGATCAAATACATTCCATATTTCCTTGTCTCTATGTATCCTTTCCATTTTCCTCACGCATTTTTACATACACAATTATAAATATATGATTATGTTATATTACAATATTATATGAATTATGTTACATAAAATATTTTGGTCCTCTCATATTGGACAAGCCCCACTACCAAAATGTACCTTACCGTATTGGGAGCAAAAAGGTTATCTTGCTAGCTGGTATTACCAAGATTTCAAGTTAGTCAGTAGAGTCAATGTCTGTGCGACTGTGAGCCTTAGGTAGTGTCATAGCTTACTGCTAGATAAATCTCCCTGTGTTGAATGTCAAGCGATGCTGAAAGCCATAATTCACTGTGAATGAGGTAGGGCGTTGTCTCAGGGACAATGACGATGTAGTATCTGGCCCTGAAAGTTTGACTATGACATGTGAGTTATGAGTCGTCATATTTTAAAGCCATAATCCAATAACTCACAGAATAACTCACATAATATGGTGGGGCTTTTGGGTCTTGCGGTGACAAAGTGACACCCATTTAAATATGCTCCACAACCAACATTTGATGATCTACACATCAGACCTGGGTTCAATACAGTATTTGTTTCTTTCAAATACTTAAGTGGCACTTAATTCCAATGTAATAGTCCCAAATGTGCAAACCCCACCCATCTGGCACTATAGATTTAATCAAACAAGTATTAGAAAACAAATCTAAATCAAATGTTAACCCAGGTCTGCTACACAGATCACATGGACAGAAACATGATAAAGCTAAAGGTTATAGGGGGTGATTGACAGCGAGGACAGAAATGTGACATTCATTGGTGGTTGGGCTTAAAACGTGATTTACCGATTGCTCAAACACACATTGGCTTTGGTTTGATTAGCGATCTAGGTCTACTGAAAATGTCTTGTCTGGCAAAACTGTTTGACTAGTCGATTATAAAACGCCACTGTAGACTAATATAGCATGCCTGGCCGCAGACAGTTCAAGGGAAACCAGTTATCGACTGTCAAGCGTGTGCCAGATTAAACTTTATTTTACTGAATCTTTAACTGAATCTTCAAATACAAATGAGAGTTTTAAATTCAATTGGTCAAATCAGATTTTCCTCCATGAGACAATTCTAAAGCCGAATGTATTGTCTACGTAGATAAAGCTCACAATGCAAGAATGCAATTAGCTGCAAAATGACTACGCTGCGTTACAGCCAGACTGAGCGTAGTGGTTAAGAGCGTTGTGCCAGGAACCGAAAGGTCGCTGGTTCTAATCCCCGAGCCGACTAGGTGAAAAATCTGTCGATGTGCCCTTGAGCAAGGCACTTAACCCTAATTGCTCCTGTAAGTCGCTCTGGATAAGAGCGTCTGCTAAATTACTAAAATGTAAATGTAAGCTACAGACAGAAAGCATTTATGGTAGCAAGAGTAGCTGCTCTTGCATCACATGGTTCCACAACCAAAAGTCAAAAGGCTGTTGGCAGCCTATGCTAAAAAAACTCCAGTCATGGCTGCCAACAGCCTTTTGACTTTTGGTTGTGGAACCATGTGATGCAAGAGCAGCTACTCTTGCTACCATAAATGCTTTCTGTCTGTAACTCAGTCTGGCTGGAACTCAGTGTAATGTGACGCAACTACGCAGCGTAGTCATTTTGCATAGCTAATTGCGTTTTTCTTACATAGACTATAAACTAGCCTTTACGGTCACTGTCAGGTTAACGGGTACTTCTTGAAGTGATCAAGCAAAATGTAGGGCAACAGGGAAATGTGTTACTCCTGTTGACCAGTTCCAACTTATTCCTCCGCCCTGCCCCATGAAACTATCCCAAACCCACCCACATACCCCCAAGCAAACATGTGCGTACACACACACACACACACACACACACACACACACACACACACACACACACACACACACACACACACACACACACACACACACACACACACACACACCCCAAAGCATAGAGGGTTAGAGGGTTAGAGCCCTCTCCCGTCCAGAGAGTGGCCAGAGACAGGGGCCTCTGGTTCAACACAGGGGTGAGGGCAGTGTTTGCTGTGTCCACACACTGGGGTTTGATGTCGGAC